GCGAGGTTTGCGGGGAGCTCCCGGCTGCGGGGGGACCGCGGCTCAGCCCCCGGGACCGCTCCCGGGGCAGGGGACGGGGATGGGGATGAGAGCGGGATGGGGACGGGGATGAGGATGGGGGTGAGGAGGGGGCAGCCCCGTCCCTCCCGCACTCACCCGGTGCCGGAGCCGCTCCGCTCGCAGCCGCTGCCCCCAAGGGCCGCCCCTGGGCGGGGCGGGACGGGGAGGGGCGCGGGCGGGGCCGGGGGTGGCAGCTCGGGGGACACCCCCACCCACAGCCGGGGTCACCCCGGAACCCCAAGGACATCCCGGGGTCCCTTCCCGGGTGCTGGGGGGCTCAGGGAGCCGGGCTGTCCCCGCCCGGACATCCCGGAGGAGGCACCAGCAGCATCCCTGGAGCAGGTTCTGGTTCCCGAAGGACACCCGGGATCCACCCGGGCTCAGGACAAGGATTCTCCATCCCTGGTAGAAGAGCAGGGTCCCGAGGGACGCCCCCTCCCCACTGGATCCCAACCAGGATCCCGAAAGATTCCCGATGGCAGGAGCAGGATCCCAAGGGATTCTCCAGCCCCTTTGCCGAGATCGGAATCCCAAAGGAATTCCCATCCCACGCACCGGGTTGGAAATGCTCTTACAATCAGCTCCGGAATCCAGAATTCCCGGGGGGAGCTTTGTGGGCTGAAGCAGTCGTTTCTGCCCCAAAAAGCCCCAAATCCTGGGATATCCACACTCGCTGCTCTGCTGCTGCGATGGGGCCGTGCCGGCATCCCAACCTCGGCCGTGGGAGGGACCCGGATCCAAAACCGCCCCCGAGCAGGGGATGGAGGAGGAAATAAATGGAAATAAAACCTGCCTGGAAGCGGCAGCTGCGCGTCACAGTCACCTCTGAGCTCAGAACTCCCGGGATCGGCGTCCCCTCCTGCCCGTCCAGCCCCAGCAGAGTTTGGGGAGAGTTTGGGGGAATTTGGGGAGAGTTTGGGGAGAGTTTGGGGAGAGTTTGGGGGAGTTTGGGGCAATTCAGTATTCCAGAGGAGCAGTGGCCGTGTCCCTCCTCCTTTGTCTGCTCCTGACCTTTCCCAGTGCTTTGTGGCTTCTCTGGGCTTTTTTTCCTTTTGAAGGAATTTGCCTAGAAACAGCCCACACGAAAGGAAAAAAAAACCAAAACCCCGAAACAAAGAAATAATCAAAGCAGCTGCTTGAGCCAAACAGACAAATCTCTGCAGGCACAGACTGGAACGGGCCGTTTTCCCCTTATTTTCCTGAATTTCTATGTAAAATACACAGAATTCTGGCTCGGGGAAGCTCTGACTCGGCGAAAGCGAGCGGGGCAGGGTCAGGATTGATATTCCAGCAGCATCCCGAGGGCTGGCAGGGATGAGAGGCCCTTTGTGGTGGGAAGAGAGGACAATGGAGCTCGCCCCAAACCCCCGGGATTCGGCCTCGGAGCTTCCCCTGACCCTCAGCTCGTGGCGTGGAGGCAAAGAGAAAAATCAGAATGAATCTGGGGTTTGAGGTGGGCACCTGCAGGAGCACAGGGGGATCCTGGCTGAGGAATTGGGGTTAAATCCTGATTTTTTTGCCATGTTCTGCTGGCTGCCGTCGGTGCACGGGCGGTGGGGGGAGGCTGGAGCCCGGATGGGGGATTTATTTACCAAATCCAGGGAATCTGAGCCATTCCTGCCCTGGGAGGCACCACAGCAGGGTGAGCTCAGATCCACGAGGGAAGGAGAGCAGGATTTCCACCCCTGGGGGCTCCCAAAATCCCCCAGGAGGAGGCAAAAAGGATGTTCTGAATAAACCAGAACACCAGAGATCCCTTTCCAACCTTGATCTTTGTGATTTACCCCTGCCAACGACCTCGGCCCGGCCCCAGAATAAAGCACCAGCTCCAAAATTCTCCAAAATTCTTCAAAATTCAATTATTTCCTGCCCAGACCAAGCAAAAATCCCTCCTTTCCTACCCCGGCAGCTTCTGGTGGTTTCAGCTTTAAGCCCCCCCAGCTGATTGTGGGTAATTTCTTCCATTGGGAAGAAATCAATCAATCAATCAATCAATCAATGATGGAATTCCCAGAGGAGCTGGGGCTGTCCCTGCCATGGCAGGGGGGGCTCTGGGTGGGATTTATCCCTTCCAGGATCCTGGAATTCCATGGATTCCCCAGCAAAGGAATTGTTGACACCACACTGCATCTATGCCCGCGTTTATTTATACTGAACAGCTTTAAAAATACAGAATAAAATAGCTTTATCTACTATTATTCACAACATCTGGTCCAAATATTACATTTTTAAATATTTAGTTGTTTAATGAAGCAATGTTAGGAAACAACAACAACAACAAAAAAAGGAATAATAACAATAATAATAATAATAATAATAATAATAATAATAAAAGAACTCAGTGAAAGAATTACACATCTTGGAACAACAGAAAAATCAAACACACCCCACCCCCTCCCTCCCCAAAATTAAACTTTTGCTGTTGAACAAAAAAGTTTTACAGCCAAAGTCGGTCACGAAAAGTCATGGAAAAACCAAAATTGATCCCCACCGCCCAAGAACAGTCAATAGTTTGTTATGCCAGAGGTTGTTCTGAACAGACAAACACAGGAATTTTATTTGGACTGGGATTGCCCAGGAAGGGCAGAGGCCACCCGAGCTCTCCCCGCTGCCCTGGATGGTGCAGGAATTCCAGGCAGGAATTCCAACCAGGGATTCCAACCAGGGATTCCAACCAGGAATTCCAGCAGGAAATTCAGCAGGAATTCAAACCAGGAATTCCAACCAGGGATTCCAGCAGGAATTCCAACCAGGGATTCCAGCAGGAATTCCAGCCAGGAATTCCAACCAGGGATTCAAACCAGGAATTCCAGCCAGGAATTCCAACCAGGGATTCAAACCAGGAATTCCAGCCAGGAATTCAAACCAGGGATTCCAGCAGGAATTCCAGCCAGGAGCGCTCCTGGTGGCTCCAGCACCGATCCCAACTCTCAGCCAGCCCCGGATCCTCCCCCAGGGCTCCCCAAATCCCACAGAAACCGCCCCAAGTTCTTGCTGCAGAAAACGAGAGTGACCCCCCCAGCCCCGCTGCCCCAGCTTGGGAAAAGGAAAGGAAAAATGGGGGGAAAAAAGCAGCTTTTGGTTGAAGAAGGCGCAAGGTGAGGGTGGAGCTGGTGGCTGCTGGGCTGGGCTGGGCCAGAGGAGGAGACGCCACCAGAGCCCAAAAGGAGAAGTTCCCCCGTTTCTGGGCTGGGAATCCGCGTCACGCTCGCTGCTGCTCCTCGGGGCTCTCCTCCCCATTCCGCCCCGCCAGCCGCGAGGGCTCGGCAGGGAGGAACAACAAAACCCTCCAGGTTTGTAGGAACACAAAACACGGCTAAATAAAGTATACACAACCCTAGAGATTCGTCAATGAAGAAATTCTACCATCACATGACATTGTCATGACACTCATACCACTCCCTCCCAGGAAAACGCCGTCGTCCTGAGCGGAAATGTTATTTTTTCTTAATATATGGAAATAAAATACCGCAATATTCATGTACAAACCAAGCTGTCGTATTTCAAGTCAGTATTAAAAGGCAATAAAAGCAAATTTGGGGTTGGAAAGGTTGAGCTTTCTGAGCGAGGTACGTGGTGAAGTCCCTCCAACATAAAGTTAATCAGTCATAGCTACGAAAACTAAATTTCTACAGGCGTAATTTGCAAGTATTTCCTTTAGAAAATGTTTCGACATGTCAGCAAGAACCCTTAATTCAACCAAAAAAAAAAAAATACAAGAAAATTTAAATTTTAAAATTACAAAAAAATCCCGAGTTTGTTTGTAGACACCGATGCCGTCTCTGATGTGACAAAATGAGATTTCCACCATGAATATTTGCCCTTCCCTCTCAGGATTTGGCTGAAGCTCCTCGTTGTCTCCTCGCTCAGCCCTCAGCTGTCCCCGGGTGTTGGAGTTTGGCTGTTGGGAGAGGCAGGGGAGGACGGAGAGGAAAATCCAGCGTTGTGTTGTCAGCTCGCGCCCGGAGTCCCCAGCGCGCACAGCTCGGGGTTAACGCTCCCCAAACCTGCAGCTTCATCTTCCTCCTGCAGCTTCATCCTCATCCTCATCCTGCAGCTTCATCCTCCTGCAGCTTCATCTTCCTCCTGCAGCTTCATCCTCATCCTCATCCT